GGATGTTTACTGGACGGGCCGAGGTGCCCCCAAGATGGCCTCAAGATCGCCGAGGGAGCGCGATCTCCACCGTCGCTGGCCTGAACATGTCCCCCAATGGGGGTTCAGAAACCAAGGGGCTCCTCCCCCCATCACCCACTGATCGCCTGATAGCTCACCCCGCCCAGGAGCTCTGGGATTCGCTATCCGGGGGCCTATCGCCGCTCTGTCGGCGAGGCGTCGCCGATTCAAGCTCGGTGTTACCCCACCCGGGCCAGTCCTCCCTACCGTTTCCCTTCTCACCTCTTCTTCCTTCGACACGTCCCCTGGCCTCGTGTCCTCTTCCACCTCCCCCCTTCTCCCTCCCTGCACTTTTTCACGCCACTTTCTAGTCACATCATCGTCCTCTCCAATCTCGCCGTCGTTGTCGTTGTGTCGTTGCCCTCTCCTTGTCCCCCTTCCCTTCTTGCCTCCAATCTCCCTCTGCCCCTGTTTATTTTTTTCTTACTCATCTCTCCTACCCCCGTCTTCCTCGTAGTCCCTGTCCTCGTTTTCGCCCCTGTCCTCATCCTCAATTTTTCTCTGCCTTGCCCGCACATGTTTTTTTCTCTCTTTATCTCTCTCTCTCTCTCTTACACTCTCTGTCTCTCCTTTTCTGTCTCTCTGTCTCTCTCTCTCTCTCGCTCTCTCGCTTTCTCCATCTATGCGCCGTCACCGTCGCTGTCGCCGTCCCTCCCTGCCGTCTTGCTTGCCCTTCTCGACGTCGCCAGCCGTCTCAATCAAGTCGGCTCCGCGTCCTCGTCCTCTCCCTCGCCTTCGGTCCCCGCGGCAGTCGTCGCCTCGACGCTGTTGCTGCCCTCTCCGCACCCCTCGGCCCCGCCCTCGCCCTCGCCCCCTCCCGCGCCCCTCCGTGCTCTCCCCCCCCGTCGCCGTCGCCCTCCCCTCCTCTGCCGCCCTCTCGCTCGGCGCCGCCGTCGTCCCCAGCGTCGTCGTCGTCGTCGTCGTCGCCGTCGCTGTCGCCGTTGCCGCCGCCGTCGCCGCCGCCGCCTTCGTCGTCGTCGTCGCCGTCGCCGTCGCCGTCGCCGTCGCCGCCGCCGCCCTCGTCGCCGCCGTCGCCGTTGCTTTCGCAGCCGACGCCTCCGCCGTCGTCGTCATCATTATCATTTTTTCCGTCGCCGTCGTCGTCGCCCGCTGCTGCCGTCGTCGCCGCGTCGCCGCCGCCGCGCTCGTCGTCGTCGTCGTCGCCGCCGCCGTCGGCGGGCACGCGAGGCTGATACGCCTGCCGCCGTCGCCAGCGCCGTCGCAGGCGCGCGTTGCGCGCTGCGCGCGCACGCGACTGCCGAGCCGCTTTGGAGGGGGACGGCCCATTCCTCTCTGATCGATCCGATTCGATGTCTATTCTGGCCAGCCCGATCCGATTCGACCCCGATCTGCTGACGATCCGATGCGGCCCGATGTTCACATGGTGCTGTTGTGCATCTCGGCGCAGCTGGCCCGATTCGGTTTCGAATCCGTGCCGATGCAGCCCGATCCGACACACGTCTCCATCCGACCAGATTTACCGATGCGATGCTGACTGATCTTGGGGTGGGTGGGTGGCGGGGGGTTAGGATCGAGGGTCGAGGGTCGGGCGTCGACTCTGCATGTTCTTGGAGGCTCTGGGGCCCCAGGGAGCTCTTCATCAGCTGCGCCTCGTCGGGCGGCGAGGGGCTGTACCCGGGTCGCCCCGAACGGCCGCCCGAGGCCCGAGCTGTGGTCGGAATGCCGAGGAGGAGAAGGAGGATGCGGAGGAGGAGGGAGGAGGAGGGAGGAACAGGAGGAGGAGGAGGAGGAGGAGGAGGAGGAGGAGGAGGAGGAGGAGGAGGAGGAGGAGGGGGGTTCCTTTTCTGCGGCGCCCGCCAGGTGTACGTCTTTTTTTGCCACTCCGCCACGTTGGTGGTTTGCATTTTTAATACCGCACGCAACAGGCTTTGTTTCTCATGTCTGAGCAACGCAACAAAAGGGGGGGAGACAGGAGGGGAGAAGGGGGGGAGGAGGACGGGGGAGAGGACGCGGGACGATGCGCAGGGGGGAGGCTGGGGAAGGGATGGGGAAGAGGCGGATAAGGTGGACGAGGAGGATCAGCGCGACAGGGAGGTGGAGGTGGGTAGAAGTGATCGGAATTGCTCTGCTGGCATTGCTCGCCACCTCAGGCGGAGGAGAAACCGCGGGGGGGCACAGCGGCATCCTGTTGCTTCTGATTCATCGTCGTCGCTGCCTCTCCGTCGTCGCGGTCGTCGTCTGGACGTGTCCTGGAGTGCATTTTGGTGTGGACTTCGACGGATCCAGCCGTGGCGCGGGCGGCCTTTCAGGCGGCCAAGGAAGGGCGAACACATTAAGAATCCTTCTTTTTCCTGCTGTCATATTCCGCCTTATGATTCTGATAATGATTATGATTCCTCCTCTCGTCTTCCTCTTCTCGTCGTCGTTGTCGTCGTCCGTTGTTCGTGCGTCGCAGACGTCGCCGCAGCCGCCGACGCTACCGCCGCCGCCGCCGCCGCCTCTGTCGTCGTCGTCGTCGTCGTCGTTGTGTTGTCATCGTCCAGCGCGCAGCCCGAACGATGTAATGCTGTTTTGGCTTCCCCTGAACATGTTCAGGTTGCTTGCTTTGTTTTTGTTTTGTCATCCAGTACAGTTCTTAAACGCCGGTCAGGCCCAAAACACATACGAATTGAGTCGGAACCGCACATGTAATTACGTGCGGACTCAATCGCTGCTGTCTTGCAATAGGTGTGGTGCAATGCAGGCTTGGCAAATAAATGCAAAGCATTGCAAGCTAATGCAAACCAATGCATCGCAATGCAACGCAATACGAAGCAACACAGACCAATGCAAAACAATGTACAGCAATGCAAACCAATACGACATACTGCAGAGCAATGCAGAGCAATGCAACGCAACGCAGCGCAATGCAACGCAATGCAAACCAATGCAAAGCAAGTCAAAGCAATGCAAAGCAATGCAAACCAATGCAAATCATTGCATTCGAATGCAAAGCAACGCAACTGTACAGCAATGCAAAGCAATGCGCATCAATGCGAAGCAATGTAATGTGATGCGCAGCAAGGTACAGGCATACAAACCAGTCGCAATGCACATCAATTCAAAGCACTGCAAAGCAACGCACACCAATGCATCGCAGTGCAAAGCAATACGATGCAGCGCAGACCAATGCACCTCAACGCACATCAATACAACGCAATGTACAATCATACAGAGCAGTGCAGAATAATGCTACGCAATGCAGAGCAACGCAGAGCAAAGGAAAGCAATGCAACGCAATGCGAAGCAATGCACACCAATGCAAAGCAGCGCAAACGCACAGCGGTGCAACGCAATGCTAATCAATGCAAAGCAAAGCAGTGTGATGCGATGCGCAGCAAGGCACGGTCGTGCAGAACAGCTGCAAGGCAGCGCAAGGCAACGCGAAGCAGTGCAAAACGATGCAACGTAATGCAACACAGTGCAAAGCTTGCGACGCGAACGGGGGGGGGTGGGTGCGGTGCAAGTGGGGTTGCATCGGGGCGGCGGCGACGGACGGGAACGGGGCCGCCGGGCCAATCGACGAGCCCAGTTCCTTAAGAAGGCAAGTGCATGCCTCTCAGTGCAAGCATTGTTTGGGGAACGACGAGAACCAGCCAGTGCGTCGCAAGTACCAGAACAAAACGTACAACATAGTGCATCGTTCCGAATTTGGACTGGCATTGTCCAAGACAAACACAAGTCTATAGCAACAGACACAACGCCATGACAGCAACACACAATGTTTAGGTATCGCGCTATCGTTGTCCTCGTCGTCATTTTCTTTGTCTTCGTCGGGTCGTCGTTGTCGACGTCGTCCAGCCACAATCCGCAAACAATCGGTCCTAGACCCATCCAGGGATCCGTCCCGTCAAGTTTTCGACCCGCGTCCAGCCGTGGCAACGATAATCCATAGAAGCGCCCACACATTCATTTCCGAAGAGGAAGATCTCGAAGTCGTCGCCGCCGTGGTCGTCGGTCGTGCGTCGTCCGTCTTCGCCGCTTTGCTTTCGCCTTGCCGCGGTCCTGCTGCCGTCGCTGCCGTCGTCGCCGTCGTCTTCGTCGTCGTCGAGACTGCTCTTTATCCTCTGGCGCGTGGTGGTCGTTGCCCAGGCCCACCCCCAGGGTGATGGTAACGATCGCGTGTTTTCGGTGAAGCCTGCCTGTGCTCGCAGGCGTCCTGCCGGTGCTCGCAGGCGCCCTGCTGGTGCTCGCAGGCTTGGCGCAGATGCCCAACACCGCCCAAGCGTTACCGTTCCCAGGGCCCCAGGGCCCCCCCCCGGGAATGACCGTCGGCGTCGTCGTCGTCGTCGTGATCGTCGTCGCCGCCTCCGCCGCTGCCGCCGCCGCCCTCGTCGTCGTTCGTCGTCGTCGTCTTATCGTCGTCGTCGTCATCGTCGTCGTCGTCGGCGTCGTTATCGTCGTCGTCATCGTCGTCGTCATCGTCGTCGTCGTTATTGTCGTCGTTATTGTCGTCGTCGTCCTGGTCGTCGTCGTCGTCGTTATCGTCCTCGTCCTCGTTATCGTCGTCGTCGTTATCGTCCTCGGCCTCGTCCTCGTACTCGTCCTCGTCGTCGTCGTCGTCGTCGTCGTCGGCGTCGGCGTCGGCGTCGGCGTCGGCGTCGGCGTCGGCGTCGGCGTCGTCGTCGTCGTTATAGTCGTCGTCGTCGTCATCATCGTCGTCGTCGTTCTTGTCGTCGTTATTGCCGCCGTCGTCTTATCGTCGTCGTCGTCGTCGTCGTCGTCGTTATCGTTATCGTCGTCTTCCTCATCCTCGTCCTCGTTATCGCCGTCGTCGTCGTCGTCGTCGTCGTTGTCGGCGTCGGCGTCGGCGTCGGCGTCGGCGTCGTCGTTGTCGTCGTTGTCAGCGTCGTCGCCGTCCCCCGCCACCGTCGTCATCGGCAACGGCCTCGGCGGCTGCGGCGGCGTCGGTGGCACCGTCGAGCGGGGCGCCCGCAGAGGCGACTTGGCGCCCGCAGAGGCGGCGCCCACGGGCCGCCGGGCGCTGACGGAGCAGGTGCGCCGCGGGGCCGGTCTTTGGGGGAGCATCGAGGATCGAGGGGGATGACGATCGAGGATCGACCGCAATCGCCGTCATTCAGGCGATCGCAAACATGGATTAAGGGGGCGTGGATTAGCGACGGGTCGCGTTTCCATAGGAAATCGCTGATTGCCGCTGCCGAACGAGGCGCCACCAGCCGCATTTTGGTGAGGGCACCTCCCCCGATCCATGGATTTGGCGACCGCGCGCCAAATCCATGGATCGCTAATCCATGTTTGCGCGCCCCCGAGTCATGGACGACGACTTCTACGAGCTGATAGGCTCGGTGCGGCACTTTGGCATGGGGGCAGGATGGCAACAGCTCCGGCTCCTTTCCCATTCTTCTCTCTCTCTCTCTTTTACCCCCTCTCTCTTTCTTTTTAGTCCTAGTTTGAGCATGGTAGTTTACGCTGCTGCTTCTCGCTCTGGACTCGTGTTGCGATTGCGATTGCGCTCGAGGGTCGAGGTTCGAGGTCTGGGGTACAGGGTCGAGGGCCCGAGAAGGGAGGCGGGGCGAGGGGTCGCGGTCGGAGGTGTTCTGGTGCGTCTGCACACTCTTTGGCCCCTCGGGCCCCAGGGTGCTCTCCATCAGCTGCGCCCCGTCGGGTGGCGTAGGGGGGGTGCCCGCATCGCTTTGAATGGCCGCCCGAGGCCCGAGGTCCGAAGGCCGAGGAGGAGGAGGAGGAGGACGATGGTAATGATGATGATGGTGATGGTGATGCTGCTGATGATGATGCTGCTGATAATGATGATGATGGTGATGCTGCTGTTGCTGCTGCGGCTGATGATGATGATGCTGATGATGATGATGCTGATGATGCTGCTGATGATGATGCTGATGATGCTGCTGATGATGATAATGACACTGCTGCTGATGATGATGATGCTGCTGATGATGATGATGATGGTGATGATGGTGGTGATGAGGATGATGATGCTGAGGATGATGCTGATGATGCTGATGCTGATGATGATGCTGATTATGCTTATGATTAAGATGCTAATGATGATTATGATGCTGCTGATGATGCTGATGCTGCTGTTTATGACGATGATGGAACTGCTGCTAATTATGATGCTGCTGCTGCTGCTGATGATGATGATGATGATGATGATAATGATGATGATGATGATGATGATGATGATGATGATGATGATGATGATGATGATGATGATGATGATGATGATGATGATGATGATGATTTGGATGCTGGTCATGATGCTGATGATGATGATGATGATGATGCTGTGATGATGATGATGATGATGATGATTGCTGCTGCTGCTGCTGATGATGATGATGATGATGATGATGATGATGATGATGATGATGATGATGATGATGATGATGATGATGATGATGATGATGATGATGATGATGATGATGATGATGATGATGATGATGATGTGAAGGAGGAGGAGGGGGAGGAGCGACGATGATTAGGACAGCGAGGCCGCCCAAGTGGGGCCAGTTTCGATGGAATTCGGAGCTAGATTTTGTCCATCTGGTCTTCCCCGATCGATGCATCGCCAACACATTGGTGGTTCGGTGCGATCGACGAAGGATGATACACATAACTTGTTCAGAGGTGTGAAGAACGGAAGCAAGGAATGGGGGCATTCGTATGAGCAGGATTGGGATTGAGATGGCGGGTGGTGGTGGTGAGGAGGAGGAAGAGGAGGAGGAGGAGGAGGAGGAGCAGGAGCCGTCATCCTTTTCCTTCTGCCCCTGCGGGGTGGAAGCAGGTGTGATCGGGGAGGGAAGGACGTTTGGCGCGATTGAGGGGGGGGATACGGCGGAGGAGGCGAAAACATGGAGGATCAGAAGGCGGACGTGGAGGGAGAATGTGGAGGAGGGGTAGGAGAAGGAGGAGGAGGAGGAGGAGGAGGAGAACAACGTCCTCCTGAGCGACGATGGCGACAACGAACGACGGCGAAGGCGATGACGCAGGCGATGCCGACGGCGAGGACAGCAACGACGGTGATGACGACGAGGGCGACGACGGCGACTGCAACGACGGCAGAGGCGACGACGGCGACGACGATGGCGGCGGCGACGACGACACTTTGGAAGACGACGGCTGCGACTTCGG